TTTTGAAGCAGTTTCCGTCTTTATTCTCTAACTTCCTCTTGAGAACTTCCCCCCCGCCCCACAGTTTAAAGAGAAGTACCCAGTGTACAACTGAAAAGTTTCCTTTTTTACAAACAAACACACCTTTCTGGTCCAAGGAGTGTAGAGCTGACTTTTGACATGGTTGATGCTGAACACTTAAAATAAATACGTATTTGCAATTTGCGTATTCACCAGTTACTCTGGAAACAAGTATTGGTCTTTGCAACTTACTAAGAAACATGAGCAATGTGATTTTTTTTTTCTTGTTGCATATAATCTTCACATTAAGGAATTAATATCTAAAAAAATGTGGTTTGTCGAAGTCAGATCATTAAATATCAGAGCATGCATTTTGATTACTTTAAGAATAATGGTCACTTGAATTGATACCAAAATGAAAATAGTACATGGAGTGGAAGACGGTTTTGAATCTCACGCTTTAAAAAGCACTAGGATCTGTTTACAATATTTTAACTATATCTTGTTAAATGCTTGCAATAATCACTGAGCCATTCATTTCCATTCTTAAAGATACTGTTGCAAAGTAATAGCCTTATTTTATGTTTCTGTTATCACAGGTAAGTGGTTCTGTTGGTTGAAGTCTGATGACTTCTGGAGATACCATAATTCACTGCCTCGTAAAATACTCGCTCCGTGAGAATCCCTGAAGCGGGAGTGATTAAGGTAAGGCCAAGATGGCTGTTAGGTGCAGGCCAGACGCTGTACGAGAACATCGCGTGATACAGCGATAACTTTGAAGAAGAGAAAACTAAACTAAGTTCACGTAACAACCGCTGTCTGTCTGTCTTTGCTGCTTCCCTGTACACATCAGGCCGCCACTCCTGGTTAGAGAGAAACAGAGTGCATGGTTTTCCTGCTGTGTCAACAGATTTGTTACGAAAAAGTAGATAAATGCGAGGAAACTCCTTTAACACATTTTTCATCAGTGCTAAAGTTAAGTTTTAAACCAGGCCAATTAAAGGTCTCAATTCTGAATTCTTAATTCTCAGTAATATTTCCATGTGCGTCTCGGGATGCTAGGATTATATTGAAGTGTACATGATGGTTAACCAGTGATCGTACGGGTTTTGAAGTTAAGCCCATACATCAGATTGAGATGATGGCTTCTGGAGAAAAAAAAAACTGATTTAGTTCTCAAACTGCAGAATACACTACAGATATCTCAGTAGGAAAATTGGCAATTTATATTGCTCCAGAACATGCAGTCACCAATGGTGAAGACAAGCCTGACACATACATAAATGACTCCAGACCACTAATCTCAAAACTAGAGGTAGCTGAGATACCACAGTAACAGCACCAGCCATTTCCTGGCTTCAAGAAAAGACTAATCTCAAGGCAAATTGGTTGCAAGGACAAAGTTTGTTCTGACTAGGGTTCCACCCCCCTCCCCTCCGCCTTGATATACACACACACATATATATATGCTGGGAAGTCTGACACGAGTATCACTCCCGATTGCTGCGTGCCAAGTGTCCTCTACGGTGTATAGTGTGACCCTTGCAACAGCCTAAAGGGGGTAATTTTGTGACGGAAACTCTGTGCTAGCAGAATGGAGGGAAGTTCAGGGAGAAAAATACTCAGATTTTGAGGAATCTCTAAAAAAAACCTTGCCTTGATAATCCTCTTCCCCCTTTTCTTTTTTTAAAACACTGTGGTTTGCATTACAAAGTGAAACCCCTTTTTCAGTAATACTCATTTATACAGCTTATAAAAGATGTAGCATCACCTTAGAGCCAAACACTAAGCAGGCATAAATGCTTTTCTTACCACCTCAATTCCAAAGAAAAACCATCCTTACAAAGCTGTTATTCAGGTGTATAAGCTGGAAAAACGCAACTTGCATTTAAGTTCAGAACTGAAAAGAATGCCAGTGCAGAGGCTTAACTTTGTTTTTCTATTAAAAAAAGACAGCAAGCAACAACTTCTTTCTTTGTTTATTATGGTTACTTATCCAAGGCAATTGAAAAGTTGCTTAACTTCATGCTTGTAACTCTTCAGGATCCCTGCTAGTGTTCATCTGCTGCAATATTTTGACGTATATTCCATGATGTTTAGTGGCAAGATATAATCCAGTTAGAACCTGTATAAGGACACCCAAACTCATCTTTCTAAAGACAGGCTGAGCAGCTGTGAGCCAGAAGCGTAACAGATTTTCTTTCCCTGGCAAGGGAGATGAAGAAAACCTACACAACATAAACAGGGGTAGAAACTTAACTTTTCCTTTTTTCCCATCCAATTTAAGTGTCAAGATTTAACATTAAAGTAATTAAAAATACTTAGGTAGCTATTCATTCTCTCCTTCCTCAAGATCTTAAGTTGAATTCACCTGGTGGTACTGAGCTCTCTGGATAAATGCTATGAACCAGCTTGACCACATACTAACATCTCGCCCTCCCCTCGCTGTGCTTGGATCCGAGCCGCAGAACTGTGGCTGCCAGGAAGTCTGGCTGCAGGACACTGCCCTGGGTCCGTAAGGTCTCTCAGCCGTCCAGCCAAGCAGCACTAAGCAGCAATCCTCACCGCTCGGCAGGACAGCAGCCACAATTCCACACACACTGGGACAGGATGCCCAGAGAGGTGGTAGATGCCCCATCCCTGGAACCATTCCAGGTCAGGTTGGACAGGGCTCTGAGCACCCTGATCTAGTTGAAGATGTCCCTGCTCACTGCAGGGAGTTGGACTAGATGGCCTTGAAAGGTCCCTTCCAACCCAAACTACTCCATGATTCTATCATCCTGGGTAGCTTCTAAGGTTCCAGGTAAACAGAAGTGCTTCGCAGTTTGCAGATCTTGTTTCACTTTGGAGGCTTGGTGTAGCTCTTGCCAACTTTTCCTTGTAATTAGATGACCTTAATGTAAGTTACCTTCCATATACTCAACACCTACAAGACGACAGGTGTGCATAGACTAAAAACCCACAGAATTTGAACTGAGAACTGAAGATTTGACCAACAAATAAGACTTCACTTGTTGCAAGTTAATAAGACGTACCTGGCTGCAAGGCTTGCATTCATGGGGAGAGCCAGGAAAACAGGATAGAAACCACCCACAACAGCCCCTATCAATCCTCCTCTGACCACAGCACAGACCTCACAGTTTAGCTCACCTGCAGGACAAACAATATTTCACTGTCAATGTCCACGTAGCTCTACCACATCATTTATAAGCTGCATGCAACAACATGGCAACAGGCGCTTGGCAGAAGTGGCCAAGCTCTACAGATATGCAAGAAATTTTGAAAGGACTCTTCATCTTGGCGGGGGGAAATCACTCTTACTCCAACCCATAAAGAATTTATCACTTTAAAGTTGACCTTCAAATGAAATCATACAGATGGGGGAAACTGGACTGCTTTGTTGCAGTCACTTTCACATGACTTTACTGAAAAATGCTAAAAATCAGTGATGCGTAACAGATTTTTTTTTTTTAATAAACATACCTAAATACACAAATGTATCTCCTTTCCCACTCAACTTCAAGAACTCCCTGCTGCCTGATGCATTAGACAATCTGTTTTTCAAAGCCTGCTTTACAAACTGAGATTTTTCAAGACCACAGCAGTTCAAGACCACTGTTCTGCAGAGAGGAAAAAGCTCCTCTTCTGTTACATTGTGTACCGAAAGCAAAGCCTTTTCAAAAACAAGGAATAATGAGATTTTACCTGAAAATAAAGGCTCACGCACAAAAGCTTCATAAGCCACTGCTGTTGAAAGAAAGGGAACAACGGCCATTGGCAAAGCAGACACCAAAGAAGCCCTTCTGACATGTAGGATGTTCCTGAAGAAATTATTTGCTACTAAGCCACATAAGCTTGCGTTTGCTGCAAGGAAGTATGATCCGTGATTACAAAGGTTCCTGTGAAAGGTGGAAAGTCAATTCAGCAATTGAGAACTGTAAAAAAGTTTGGTTTACTCAGTGCTACAATTCAGTTCTAGATATCCTGCAAGAAGAGATGTAAATCTCTTGCTGGTGCAAAATGGAGAGGAACCTACTTTCAAACCAACCAGTACAGCATCTTCGCTATATGCCTGAGTTTACACACACCTCAAGAATGAAATGACAGAAAGGCTGGGAAGCCTTTTCTACAACTTTTTTTTTTTTTTATTATGGCTAATGGAAACTTTCTGAAATTTGCTCTTCTAATGAGCATGTTTCTAAGGAGAATGTTTTCTCAAAAAAAATACTAAAAACAAAAATTTTATATATATATATATGATCACAGCTAGCTCCTGTAATAAGCCTTGTGTCTAGCCTGCTTACCCAAAAGCATAGATTTAGTTTCAACGTACGAGCCTACAGAACAGATCAGGTGGGACAGCTATGGCAACTGAGACCTTGCAATAACGATCTCAGCAGCCGCTGGCAGATCGTTTGTAGTGACCCTCTAGGCTAAAGGGCTGTAAGCCAGCCTTGTGTGCATGGAACACATGAATTTAAGGTCCTACCTTGCTGGGAGGTTACACTAAGTAAAGGCTAAGGAGTCGGACATACTGGTTTACAGAACTGGAGCCTCTATTTTACCCTTAATAACAGAGGGACTGGATTCCGTTATCTATCATGTTTTTAACACAGGCTTCAGAGCAGCTACTCCTGTTGCAATCTGTCATATGGTGAAGGCAGAATAGAACGGAGTCTGGTCAGAGATAGTCAGCATTTGAGATCTTGACAAACAGTCCCCATCCCCATGTGATGTACATTCCATCACAGCAGGTAAGGCACGAGAGGGAATGGAAAAGCTTGCCAATTTTACGAGCCTGATGAGCAGCTTGTGATTTATTCCATTTGACTGGCGGAAGGAAGCTGTGCGTTATCTTTAGCATCATACCTGGCACAGTCAGTTGATTAGTGGAAACAACTCTTTGCTTTAGGTTTCCACAAATCTAAAATTCTCAGAATGACAACTATTGCCAGGCAAAGCAATTAACTGGAAGGCACTCCAATGCTGAGACTGTGCCAGTATTACTATGTTAAAAGTGTATTTTTAAAATGCTCCGTAAATTGGATTTACACTAAAGCCCCAAAGAAAATAAAATACTTAGCCGGTCAAAAAATACATGCTAGGCCAAATGTCATATGTATTTGCAAGATTATCAAATGTGACAATCTCTAAACCATTTAGCAATTACAATACATGACTTTTTAAAATCCACCTATTTAAAACTCTCACACATTTTAATGCTTAGAGTAAAATTAAGCACTGACAAACCATACAAAAAAGGCACTAATTCTGCAAAATCTAAAACATTAAGAATTCCTGACATCAGTGACACCAGCTATTTCTCATTTTGAATACGAAAATACTTTCATTCTTGGCATATACCAGATTTTCAAATATGAAAATAAGCTACTAACAATTCAATTCTGATGCTGTGGAGCAAAAGCACTTGACTGCTCAGATGTCTCTTGCCCTTATTTAGGAGTCATGTTTCTTTTTTGGGGTTTTAAAAAGAAAGGGACCTATTTGCTTTTGATATCACCATTCTCCCAGTACTGGATGCCAGTCACAGAACCATCCCCGTAGTACAGATTCTGCAAACCAGCCATTTCATTCTATTGGTATATTTAAAATCACAAGCAGTGAAATGCATGTGTGCATATACATACACGTAGAGGACAGAGATGAAAGTTTAGCAGCATATTTGAGAATCCGAAACAAAGCACAGTAATGTACCCAGCAGAGGACCAGCAGAAGCTACTCGGGCTGTCTGATATACAGAACTGCTACACTGCATGAAGGGAAAGAAAGGGAGGATGGAAGGGTTGGATTTTGGCTTTTTGTGTGGGTTGGAGCAGCAGGATTTGTTGTTTGTGGGAGGAGGGGGTTCTTTGGGTTTGCCTTTTTTAAAAAAAAAAAAAATATTTTTTTTTAAATACCAGCTCCCTAGTGTTAAAACCAAGAACTTTGGTAAGCAAGAACTCTCTCGATCTGACTAGGATGCATCATCTTCCCTTGAGCCATTCGTGCCCTCCCCTTTGGATATACAGTCCTGCCAGGGCAGTGTCAAATAAAAGCGCACGCCCCTGGCAGCTCTTTCTTTCCAAGGCCCAGCAGTTCCTAGGTACCACGGTTTCTACCAAGATGTTACCACCTCACCACTGAGGCATCTGCCTCCCCCTTAGCTCCCCAGCTCTTCTGGGGAAGGAGAAGTGGTGTAAGCTAAAGGCAAGGGCAGCAGATCAAACACAAAGCTGCACCACTGACTGTTATGGAAGGGATAAACCTTGGCACTTTTCTTTCTCAGCTGTGTGGGGAGGCCCTGTGTTAATACCAGCAATTTGTTTAGCCAATAATTTAGTTCTAGTAATTAAAAAAAAGAACTTCCCATTACTCTTATTTATACAAAATTTATCTAAGGTGATACACACGTAAAAATGGCTCCTTACAGAACCAGCTCAGGTCCACTAAGTTTTGCAGTGAAATGCAGTATCACAAAACAAGAAGGTTGGCTGTGAGACCCAGAAGGCCTCAAGCTGTTTTTGTGCTGCACAGAACCCTGCTGGTGCGCCTGCATGACGCTGGCTGACTCGTCCACCACCACCTGGATACCTCAGTCTCACCTTCCTGGAACAGGGAGCAGTGCCGAATGAAATGCAGAAAGTAGCAGGTTGATGCTCGCTCAGTTCTGGCCCCAGGCCAGCCCTGTGGGACACAAGATGACTCCTGCAGAACCACAAAAGGATCGGCCTTATGCTCTCCAATATTTCAGTTTCCTAGAAAATTTATTAGCTATAGCACATATGAATGCCCCGAGCCAGTCAGGGCTGATAAGCCATCCCAGAACCTTAAGCATTGGTGAGCACATGCCAGAAACCAGCTGAGCGGGACCAGAGATAACAGTAAACTAACCATATTTAAAAAACACAAAATCAGTTTTCTGTTCTGGACAATAATAAGCATCTTCACAATTAAATATTTTTGTAACTGCAAGAAAGATTTGTATTACAAGAGTACAGGACAAGAAAAGCCTCCAAAAAAACTTGAAATGTTTGATGCACTTATCTTTGTTTATTTTACCAGCACTTACTGATCTGCTTTAGGAAGCTCATTGAGCACCTTTTGTATGATTTCCATCCGCTTCAATCTTTCCAAATATACTCTTTGCTGCGGAGAATCTAATTCTAGAAACTCTCTTCCTGTCATCTTGAAGTCCTGGATCAGAAGGAACACACAAACAAGTGTAATCAAAGTTACACAGCCCCAGTATGTATCAAATAAACATTTAGATTCTTTTGGCACTATGCTATCATGAATGCATTTCCTATTTTTCACAGCAGAGCTTTCAGATGCAAAGGGCACAATCCAGCTACAGAAGTCTGCAATACTTATGACTACATGAACCCTACCAAACTGCTTTCTTTAGTGATGTTGCAGCTGTGGTTTGACAATTGCTCTAGGCCAACTTAAGTACTCCCTGTGATGAAAATGGACCCTCTTGCCTGAGCACCTCCAAGCTTGGGGCCATACAGCAGCTTGGATCAGGAAACACACAGATGAAAACTGCACCGAGGAACAATGGGCAGTGTACTTTTTTTCCCATCTGGATCATTTTCTAACACAATGATCCCTAATGCTAGCAGCATAAGGGAAGACACTAACGGGACAATGGCTTTTGGCAATACTCCAGGTTTAAATTGACTTAACTGTCAAATAGAAACCTTAAGGAAAAAGAAAATATTCCATATTTCGTAAAGATTTAAGGGAATCACGAAGATATCTACTCTGCTTTTATATTCCACACCTAAGGATATTTTTTATTGGTACTCTTAGCCAGAGACATATATCAAGTCAGAAAGTGTACAGTTATTTAAATGGCAAGGTTTTGGTAGCGGGGTGTGGGGGAAAGGGGTTCAAGGGTGGCGTCTGTGAGAAGACGCTAGAAGCTTCCCTCACATCTGACAGAGCCAATGCCAGCTCCAAGATGGATCCACTGCTGCCCAGAGTCCATCAGTGACACTGGTTGTACCTCTGTGACAACATATTTAAGAAGGGGAAAAAAAACACTGCACAACAGCAGCCAAGAAAGAGGAGTGAGACTATGTGAGAACAACAACCCTGCAGACATCCAGGTCAGAGCAAAAGAAGGGGGAAGAGAGGCTTCAGGTGCCAGAGCAGAGGTTCCCCGGCAGTCCCTGGGCAAGCCCACAGGGAGGCCGGCTGTGCCCCTGC